AAAAAAAATAAAAATTAACCAAATATATCTGAGAAAATCTTAAATAAATCCAATGTTACTTACACTTTTGTTATCATATTCCACTATTACTCTTGATTCTGGTTGTTTTTCTTTATCGATCTTCTGCTAAATTACATATAGTGTTTTTTACTATCGATTTATATATTCACTTTTGCAATGGTATTAATGATATTGCCTACCTTTTTTTTCTAATCATAGTCTGAATCAGAGAAAATAAAAGAGTTATTACTTAGTTCATACTAATAATAAACATATTATTTTGGTCATGAAAATGTATCGCATGTCAATCAATCAATCCAATATCAACTTACGTAACTATTATAATTAGATTTATGTCATTTTCTTTTAACAGACATCTGTTAATATTAATAATCCATATCATTACTTATATCGGTACTAATTACCTTCTCTTCATAATCTGATACATAAAGATTAATTTCATTCAAATTTTTATTGTAATCAACAGGTGTATGATTTTTGAGTGTCCTTTTAGAAGTCTCCCTATACTAAGAGATGCAAAATATCTATGACTAAAAAGGTTATTTAACTAATATTCTACCCATACAGCTTTGCCTATTACAAGATGCAAAAATAACAAATCGTGTAATAGAAACTTACACATACTTGATTTTCTATCGTGTCTATTACTTCAACAGATACAGTTTCATATATTTTTTGCATTTCATCAATAGTTTTATTCAATACAGATTTTGCATAATTTAACTACAAATATTGTTAACCTAGTTTTCATTAAAATAAATAGATATATATAGACAATAATTTATCTACCTTTGTAAATTGGATTTCGTCTGATAGCCAAAAAGCTTTGACAGCTAGAGATAATTTCTTGAACTATATATTAATACAATTTATTGGCTCAAAGTTTCTCAAACTATCATAATAACTAGAGATGTATACTATGAAATGAGATGTAGTCTAACAACCAGAAAGACATAGTTTCCAGTTGCAATATAGCAATAGAAGTGTAGTCTATTTTCCGAGAGAAGACGTAGTTCACTATCACTAGCTGAGGCATAGTTAGCCGGTTACTCAGGGTTTCTATCTCTGTTAATAATAATAATAATAATACTAGATATATAATACATAACCTCGAAGTTATCAAGGCAATTTCAGGCTTGAGCACTATTCTCTTCTGATTTGTTATCCAAAATAATACTCTCAAGCACTTTCTTATAGTTTTTACATTCCGTAAGTCTATTTTTTGTAAAATCATGCATGTCTTTTCTATATCTTAAAAAAGCAATTAGCAATCAGGTTTTGTTTTCTTTAAAAAATGTTCGTGGATTATTGGACTGTATTTTTTTGGTTAATATTTCAAGATTCAAATTTCTATAATAACAATACTATTTAAAGCCAAATGCATTCATGTAACTAACAGCCAATCAAAATATAAATTTTGATTAACCCAGATCAGCCCGACGAGACAAAAACAAAGAAAAAAAGTGAAAAATGCTAAAAATACAAAAAACAAGTGTCTAAACCTGTCTTGAAGTACTAATAAAAAATGTTAAAAAAACAATTTTACTTATAAAAACTGCTCAACCTAACCCCAAACTAACTCTTACCCTAATTTTAATTAAATAATCAAAAATATATAAACGCACGGGCTTTAGCCATCCTCTATAATAACTACAACTGTTTATTCCTTTGGTGATACAATATATTTCAGTAATCTATTGGTATGGGTATAATAAAAGTATCGAATTCTTCATTATCTAGCTATAATGGAACAACTACTAAGTTGGTTGTGACAATGAATCAACTTTTGGGCTTACAAACTAATGACTATTCTTTTGTACAGATTTCTAAAAAATTTATTAGCAAGCAATATAAACTTCTAGTGGGTTTTTGCTATAGGCTATTCTAAATTGTTTATTGATTGTATTTGCAATACTATTCTATAAGTCTATTCAGAAATGTTATAATACTCTGCATTTCGATTTCTTCTTTGAGGGATTGCTAAAGTGGGATAAAAAAAATAGTTTCTTTTTAATATAGTTAGAATCAGAGGGTTATATAGATATCAAGAATGTAATTTATTTCTAATTTATTTTTATTTAATTATTAGAGAATTGATATATTTACATCACTTATACATTCTATTTACTACTTTTTACATGTTTTACAATATAGGTGTGAATGATGATTGCATTCGTCACAAACCTTACACCTGTGCTTTTATCCTTTAAAGATATACCACTTTTCAATGTAATTTTGTTTGTTTTTACATACGAGTATGTTATTCTGACCTTTCATTGTTTTATATTAACAGAAAAAATATAATGTGTTTATTTTTTTTATATGTACAATACAAACCTATAATATGTGGCAATTGCGTCCTCATCTACAAATAAATTATGCATAAGCCTTGTAAGGTGATACAGATAAATTTCATGGAATTTATTCTAACAGGTTACTAAATATTTAATGTTAATTATTCAAGAATTTCAAAATGCAATAAAAATAATAACTGTATATATATTCACTTGAAATTTATATTATATGGGGTGTTCTGAGTCAGAATAGTATTATATGATATATCACGCAATGTGGTGCAGTAGATCACATTTATTAGCATTAAATTATCGGAGAATTACACAGAAAAATTTTTTATGATATATAAAACTTTATCTCTAATTAGATTAGAAAAACTAGATGCAGTAAAAGATCTAATATTCTGGATTTTATCTTCTCTGATTTTACTAAATATATCATAAATTTTTTTAGCCATATCTGTTCTTTTACATACTATAGCATCTTTAGTTTTTTTCTGGAAGCTTTTCCTTAACTTCTTTATTTAACTTTGTATGTGCTGTTTGTAGAGGTTGTTCTTTAGCAATATAGCAAGTCATTCTGATAGAGCTCTCCCAAACCGAAAGTAGCATTAAACTACTTCCTGGTTTTCTTGATTCTCCTTTTTTTTAGCAATATTAACATTATAGTATAGTTTATAGAATTAATTAGAAATTTCACCAATATTGGTAGTTTTAGAAAGAGCACTGATTGATGGTCCACTGCTAGTTGAAGCAACAGATAACTCTTGAATAATTGCTTTAGGTTTTGTAGCCCTTTTAGGTTTACTTTTATAAGTATTCTTTTCTTGCATCTTTCTTTTTTTCTTGGATGTTTTATTGACTAAAACAATAGATGAAATATAATATCTTTCTTTTTTCAGATCATCAATAGATAGATATTCAGGACATGGCTTACACTTAATGTTAATACATTTGAAATGCACAATGTGATTACATGGCAATAATATGATTGGCTTCAAAATTTCTAGAAAGATTACTTCAAAACACTTCGAACAATTTCCGGGTTCAATTTGTAAGGCATCTCTGTTTTTGGTAAGATCTATATAATTTAGATATATTGTTAGATCATATGCTAAGGTAGAATTAAAAATAAAAGTTGTATCTGGAGTTATTGTATTCTGGCTTTGACTGAATGTTATTTGTAGTGAAATTTGTATTAGGTCTGGAATACTTTGTATTTGATTTTCTTGCGAGCTAGATTCAGAATAATCAATTGGTTCACATCAGCAAAAATATATATGCGTAAACTTTTGTAAGTTTTTACAGTGCGTAAGAAAATCATAAACCTACGTAAAATTTAGCGTAAAACTACGTAAATCTTATGGTGCGTAAGAAAATCGTAAAT